GCTGCTGGTGCCAAGACTGTTGACTATGGAGCCAAGCAAACTAAAGCTGTGTACAATCTCAATCTCTTCACCATCCATCCTGATGCTGCCAATTGGAGTTAAAGATACCAATTTTAAAATATTTTCACCTATATTATAGTATATAGCCCTTAGAACAACTGAGATGGGAAAGATGGGTTATATTATCCTCAATAGAAAAGAAATATGGCTCAGGAACAAAGCCGTTTGTCAAGACTCACAAAGCTGATAGGTGATGACATAGGAGTATTCAATGGTTCCTTAACCTATCTTTGTATTAGAATTGTTAGGAGACCTTGTGAATGCCAAACAGTATGATCGTGCACTGGAGCTTAAAAAGAGCACTTAGCTTGTAGAAGTGATGGGGTGATATTAATAAGTTCAGAATTCTCTGTATATGTGACAGTTATAAAACTGTAGTTATAGAACTGACATTGGTTTTCTCTAGCCTGCAAGGCTAGTTGTTTGACCTTAGAATTCTTAGTTTACTTTCTTTAGTCATGTAACTTAGTTTAATCTGTTTACCAGGAGGAGAGATGCATCTCCTAGATCAGCGGTTATCTCTTGAAGCTGTATTTCTCAGTCATATGTAAATTGTAACTTAAACTGCCTGTTTACCAGGAAAGGGAGTACTGAATTGACTCTTATCTTGCCAAAACCTGTTTTTCTGTTTTATGTTAACTAGTACAACAAACATGCATTATTAAGTGTCTCACCCTGGTATAAACACCTAAAGACCTCTCCCAAACAGTGAGGCAGTCTTTGGGGCCAACTCGCTGTCTTCCCAGATCTGTAATAAAGTGCGTATGGATATTGCAATCCCTTTGTCTTACTGGCAATTAACTATGGGAAGAACCCCTTGCATTCAGTAACAGAAAGCTGCAATCTACAGCAGGAGCTAACTAGTCTTGACTTGAGTTCAGATGCAATTATCTTACTTCTCCAATAGTTCTAATCACAAGCCTGGGGCTAGCACAGGGAGGGGCAGTTTGCTCTCAAAACAGTGTGGTTGAAAGTAGACAACTAGAATGTAGAAAGATGCCCCCACCAGGAATTTGCTTGGTATTTACAGAAAAAAGCCAATCAGATGCATGCTAACTAATTTAAATAAAATGTTGGGGAGGTAATATTGTTTTGTAACTACCTTGTAGCTATGACTCAGGGTTACATGGTCTTCAATTATACCTTACCACAGTGTAACTGAAAAACGCAAAATCGATCCTATTAAAAAAACAAACAAATAAACAAAAGGAGGCCCCTCTGGGAACTTGACTTTAGAGAAAGAATATGGCAGTTACGCCCCACCCCCAGGCTTGAGTACTTCCTGAGAAACCTGATA